AACCATGAGATGATCCACCTAGCAACTTTATGTAGATGTTAAACAGAAAGGAAGAGAGTAACAAATACTGAGCCCATAAAGGAGAGGCTGTGTATAGGATTTCTTCCCCACTATCAACATTGACTAGAACTGAGCCCAAACAAAGAAGACTAGCACAATACCTTGCTGCCTACCTCCAACTCCCAGATCAAAAGTCCCTGAGAGGTGATGTAGAACAAGGCTGGATACACAACCCCCTTCCTACTCACATTAGAGGTCATTCAAGAGTGCAATCAATGCCAGACCTCCGGTTTGAGCTTCTTCAGCGACGGACCAAAATCCGTGATTGTGTGCAGTTTCGATCCATGCTAGCCGCCGGAGCGCCCCGAGCCGGCTAGATTCAGGGCTAAGCCATCCTATAGAGTTGGTGAAGAGGGGGGAGACCGCCAGCAGGGTCGAGGAGAGCCGCATCTCTCCTTAGCTGGCCATTACTCCCTTTCCTGAAGGCGGTTGCAGTGGTGGTCAGAAATGGCACCTCAAAGAAGAACTCGACCGGAAAAGAATGTGCAGGAGGAAGATAAGAAGTGAAAGTTTTGGTTGACCGGGTTAAACTGAAAAAGCAACAACATAAGGTACCTTGGAATTTGAACTATAAAAAATAACATTGTTCCCAAAGAAGATTTTGAAGCAGCGAAGGAGAGAGGGAAGGGAAAGGATTTGGCTTTTTTTTTTCTTCCCTTCCTTATACTGACAGCTAAGAGATTTAAGTAAGAAATTGACTAAAATCCACTTTGACATCGATAGGCATTTAAGCTGAAAATAAAATGTCAAAGGGATAATAAAGACTTTTGGATACTCAAAAACGTTTAAAAGCAGGAAAGGAGAGAAAAAGAATAAAAGGGTGGGATCTGGAAAAATGGAGGAGACTGCCTGGAACTAAAAGGAACTTACAGTGAAACTTTAACAAGATTCCTAAAAGATACATTCTAACTGAAACTTTGTAACCAAATAATAGAACCCCAGGAGGAGAAAGTGGAAAAAAGAAGCAAGAAGAAACAGCTTTGGATTATTTGGATTACTTGGTGATTTTTAGATTTTTGGCTATTGGATCTAAAGGACTAAAATCAATCAGGTGGTTGTTTAAAAGTGTTTAAAATGGCATCACTTTTAGAAGAACTGAAAATGAAACAGAAAGAAGATTCACAAGAAAGAAGAAGTTATTTTGGCTTCGTATTTCAATTTTTGGAAATGGAGATCTGGAACTATGAGAAACAACAAGAAACGCTTGTAGAACAAGAAAGTTGGGGCAAAGAAGAAGCCATCTTTAATGATCAAGTAATTTTATGTGGGGAAAAAAAGGAAAGTGGGAAAAAAAAGTGAAAAGTTTAAGATTTGAAAAAAACAACCCCCCAAAAAAGAATAGTTTGAAAAATAATTACAATATTAGGAAGCAACAGAAATGAGGATCACAGAAGAGAGAATTAGAAGTAGAGAGACAAGGGGGAAAAGGGGGGAGGGAGAAGAAAACTGGGAAGAAGGAAAGGAAAAGAAGTTATAAAAGACAAAAACAAGATATAGAGAAAAGGGGAAAGGGTATAAAGATTGAAAGTATAAGTCTATTTAGAGATAATGGGTGAAAACTTAATTGAAAAAGGGATTCTGCAAAAGTACATAAGATAGTATTGTTATATTAGAAATTTTAGAAAATATGAAACAATGTATGAATAAAATGATGGATAAAATACTTATTGTAATGCAGTGGAATGTTTGTTAATTAAAAAAATGAAATAAAGTAAATGAGAGAATGAAATTAGGAAAGGATGGGAACATTTTAATTATTATTAATGATTTATAAAAATATAAGTGAAGAGAAATATGGAAAAAAAGAATTAATTATGGAAAGTTTATAAGTGTTCACAAGGAAGTATGATATTCAATTGAAAAGAAATGTTAAAGATGTTAAGATTCTAACTAATATTAATGATAGAATTTAATTGGAATGGAATGAGTGTTTTATTTACTATTGTCATATATATATAATTTTTTAAGAACATAGTATGTATTTTAAGAATGTACCAAGCAGAATTCGATTGGAAGTTATGTACTATATTGAATGTTATAATTTTAAAGGCATAAATTGAAGTTTAAATAAGAGTTGAATGGATAAAATTAAAAGATATAAAGGTGTTACACTCCAGTCTAATAATTACAAGGGAAAATTTGTTTAATGAGAAAAGATAATATGAAATTGAAACAGGACAGACAAAAGTATAAATATAATGATTGGAAAGACATTGAAATTTAGAAAAATATATATAAAATTGAATTTAGATATGAGATAATTAAAAATAAAATTGAGAAAACCAAGGGAGGGGAAAATTATGGAGAAAATGTTAAAACAATAATAAGATATGGAATAGAACACAAAGATGAATATGAAATTGAGTTTGTGTCTGCATGAAGAAGTGATAACCCGGGATCATGCTATTCTCAAAAAGAGATGTTTTATCTGTATTATGTTTTTGTGAAAACCCAAATAAAATTTATATTAAAAAAAAAGAGTGCAATAATGCCACCTCAATCCCATATCCAGGCCTGAACTCCAGATAATCCACTTCTTCCAGAATCTAACCATCTTCTGTCTACAACACAACCACTTTTTCTATAACCTTCTTTAGAAAGGCGAGGTTGGAAACTAAATGACAATTGTTCATAATATTGGAGTCTAGTGATGGACCTTGAGAAGAGGGTGAATAAGAAACAGAGGAACTACCCCCTTGCTCAAATAGGAATTAATCATGTACTCACATCTGATAACAGGAATGCCACTATTTAAGGCTAGTACTGACATTGTGACATGATATTCTGGGAATGAATTCTGGGAATAAAAGATAATCTTCTAGTTGCCAAGGCTGAGAAATGTTTTAAGTCAAAATTAATGTTTATAAATCAGAATGGTTGCAAACATGCAAAAGAAACAAATCACAATATGGCTCTGCGTGATTTGAACCCTAATCCTTTTTTCTTCAGGGCCCCAAATTTAGTCACTGAAAGTAGGCCTGGAAAAACTTCCTTTGAAACATTGCTAGGCAGCGTCAGTGGTATCAAACTACAGCAAGCAGTGGTTAGACTCAGTATAATGTACATGTGTTTGTACAATTCATATGATCTTTGTTTACTTTTTCAGATTCAGAAGCATCAGATGTTAAGGAGGCCAACTTATTTACCAGCCTGGGAAAACCTGCATGCTTTCTGTCAGTAAGGAATAAGCCTTAACTTTAGAATCTGTTTTAAAGCAGGCAGTTAATATGATGGCATTATAAAGACTTTCCCATATAGTAACAGCTGCCATGATTTGGCTCATGAGTCTATTTGGGAAGGATAGAATTATGAAATTGGAGTCTCTGAATGTGGCATGATCAGAAAGCTAGAGCAATTACTGCACTTTCCTATTTTTGGACTTTAGCCATTTAAGGTTCAAGGCAAGGGAAATTATGCGATCATCTCTCAAATTAAAAAACATTTTTAAAAATTAAAGGACAACTTATACTAACATTTTTTAAAAAAAATAGTGACTTAAAACTATGCTTGCTGTTGTTGCTTTCCAGGGCATATTTCTGCAATTGAAATATGTCAATATATAGCATTCCTTCTAAATTTTGCTGTATCAGGGCTTGCCAGAATAAAATCCTTGTAACAATATTACCTGTCAGTATGAGAATCATGTGGAAAATATCAAAAAAAGTTGAAGCAAAAGCCAAGCAATATGCTCCCTTGCTTTGTGGAAAGTTTGCAACTGAAGCTTATGTAATATTTGAAGAAAATGCAAGGGGGAAAGTTTTTTAATCTGTGTTCCAAACTCTCTTACTGAAACTTTTAAATAGCGCTAGATAACACAAATAGGAGAAACAGTAGATATGATACTGAACAATGTGCCCCCTTGTGGCATTAGATAGAAAGATGACAATCTAGGGAACAGCATATTTTGCTGATGTTTACAGTATGTTGAATTATAAGATATATTTTCCTTTATTTTTCTTTTTGATATAATATGGACCATAACCATATTTTGGTCCTAGATGAAACCTAGTTCTTTTTAATGATAGAAAAAATGCCAAGTTGGTTTTTTTTTTTTTTTTTTGTTTAAAAGGAAAGTTCTGTCTTGTCACAAATAAATAGACTAGAAGAATTATAAGTAAAAAAGTCCATTATCTCATACACCCAGAATAAGTAGGTAATTGTATGAACTTCACATTTTATATGAACTTTACATTTTATATTACTTAGATCTGTATCATGCAATTCTGATATTATCAGTTTGATATGCTTTTTCCTATTTTTTTCCTTATGATTTCCTCCCTCCCAAATACGTAGCTTTTTTCACAGCACGTGCAGATGCAGTTGATAAGCTACCCTTCACACTCCCCAACTGAAGTTTATTTTAAGTCTATGTTAATTCCAGATACGTATTTTATTCAGATTGATAGACTTCGGAGGAAATTAATGTGTCAAGATAGGTCACCAAGGATTTCATTGGTTAAATTGAGACCAGTTGCAATGTGCTGGGGTCTTGTGATTATCATTTGTGACCTTCCCAGCTGGCTTCTGACAAGCAAAGTCAATGGGGTAAACCAGATTCACTTAACAATTACAATGATTGACTCAACTCTGGCAAAAAAAAAAAAAAGTCATAAAATTGGATTCAACTCACTTAACTGCTTTAGCAATGGAAATGCTGTTCTCAATTGTGATCATAAGTTGAAGATCTTTTGTATTGTCTAGAAAATTCCTTCTGAACATTATCTTCACCTGAAAAATCATGCAAGTATATTCAAAAGTATATAGTTATATCATCTCTTTTTTGGCTCTCAACCTCATAAAGCCTTCCGACAATTTCCAAATATTAGATTTTGTTTTAGCCCAAAATGTAAGGAAAATAAAAATGAATCTTGATAAATACAGCAATAAAAAATCAAATCTTGAGGTATAATGATCTACACTAAACAATTTTTTGTGATGACAAGTAAAAAAACCTTTTTAGTTGGCCAGTTCAATTTCCCCGCTTGTAGAATAACTTTTTTTTTCTTTTTACGAACCTGTTATCCCTTAATTTGGGGTAGCGTTGGCTGATTAAATGGATTTGAATGTTTATTGGCTGGATGTCCTTCCTGACACTTATGTGGAGTTCACACAGATATTTTCTCTTTGTGTCCTGATAAAGAAATATCTGTTGCTACGTAGAATTGAACTCTCAACCTTCCTAGTGGGAGATAAGTATCTTCATCTCAAGGTCACCATGGTCACTGTCTTGTAGAATAACTTTAAATAATATAAAATACTGTCATTCATTGGGGATCTGAGAAACCTCACTATGATAGGCTTGAGTTTTTATATTGAATAGTAACAAAAACCAATAAGATGAGTAGTTTCAATATCTAACTGCTGCAATTTAAAAGACAGTGAATAGGGATTTGTCATGAATGCCACTAAGGATTGGTTTTGCTTGCATTGTTGGGAATACTAAAACAAGTCTGTAGATTATTTCTATACAGCAGTCCTGTTTATGAATCTTTTAATTTAATTTCTTCTACATAACTTTTATACTGCAGAGGAGATTACTGTCCTGTTGCACAATTCAGTCAGCTAATCTGATACTATCATGTAAAATTCTCTGATAGGAAACAGAATTTATGCTTTTTACAAAGATGGCAAATTGTTGAGATTCTGAGGCACTCTGACAGTCAGTTTGTATTCACTATTTGTTTTCTATAGGCAGAACAACACCCATGTCATCCCAAAAGTTTTATCCATAGAACATCCCTCTAGAAGTTTGGAAGTACAGATGCTGTTTGGCAAACCTGAAACAAGCATCAGTGTTTTGTTTGTTTGTTTGTTTTGGTGAACAATGGTTTCTGCCTTGCTATTTTCCTATGTATCACATTTTTACATGGTGTGTTTTGATGTGGAGTGATGAAAATTGACTAGCTGCAAATGTAGATCTCTGGTTAATGTCCTGTAATTCTCATCGATTTTATGCACTGCTCTGACTGATTTTGACAGCATGACTATTCTTGGAAATATTCACTGTGTTCTGAAATCTTATTCATTTAAAAAAATTGTCTGAGGAGCAATGACTCACAAAATTTCATAAATGAGTCTGCAACTTTTATCAAACTGACAGGTAGCAATGCCTTTTTCTGACAAAGGTCTTTAGAAAATTTGAGAATAGAATGACACAGATCTAGAATTTGCATAGTGAGAATTCATTAGGACAAAGAAAGCCAAAATGTGTAAGATTATATGGAATAGGACTATCTCAAATCATCTGTCATTATTTAATGAAGTATTCGCACCTCTGGCCCTTGTTAACTGAACTGTTACAAATAGGAAATCACTTCTTTTTCACATTGGAACATGACATATTAGATACTCGTTATAAACAAACTAAAAAGAGACAAACTTTGTTATTTGTTCATTAATACTATACATGTTTTCATAAATGCACACAAACATATAAAATAAGAGATATTGAAAACAGGGATGCCAATACCACAATACCACTATATATAAATCATAGTGCAGCAATAATGCAACAATATCTGGTATATTATATTTGGGTCTGGCCAAATACTTCAGAAAGAATATAGTGGAGCTAGAAAAGTTTCAGAGATGGGCAACTAAGATGATCAAGGGGCTGGGGCAGTATGCCTAGGAAGCAAGATTTATGGCTTTTTAATCTAGAAAGCCTGGTTTGAGCCAGTTTCATGTAGTAGTTAAGGCATCAGCATAGAAACTGAGAAACCATGAGTTCTAGTCCTACCATGGGTACAAAGTCAGCTGCGTAACCTTGGGTCAATCACTTTCTTTCAGCCATAGGAAGGAGACAATGGAAAATCACTTCTGAAAAATCCAGACAGGTTTCTAGAGTTGGACCTGACTGAATGGAAGAAATAGAAATCTAGAAAGAAGGTAATGAGGCACCATACAGTACATGAGTTTGATGTATAAAATTATACACAAGGTGGATAAAGGCAGGGGTGGGCTGCTGGGGATTTGCAGGGGTTCAGGAGAGCCCCTAGCTAAGATTCTGTGCAGTTTGGAGAACCCCCTAATCCCACTCCTGTCTGGCCCTGCCCACCCCACCATGCCCCTCCCAGGAGTCCCCATGCAGACCATTTTGGATGCAGGTAAGTGCAGGCTGCACACGGAGGCTCGGAGAGGGCAAAAAACGGGCTCTTGGAAGTTCGGGAAGGCCCATTTCTGGCTTCCAGAGAGCCTCCGGAGTCCAGGGAGGCTGTTTTCACCCTCCCGGAGACTCGAGGGAAGTCCAGGCTCAAGAAGAGCCCAAGGAGAGCAAAAACACACACACCCCGCATAGTACAGGAGGCTGACTAGGCCACAACCACCATGGCCACACCCACCCAGCAACCGGGCAGAGAACCCTTTTCTAAAAGTTTTGAAGCCCATCCCTGGATAAAGGTTATTTTCCCCTTCCCAAAATAGTGGAATGAGACATCACCCAATGAAATTAAAAGATCAAAGAATGAAGACAGACAAAAATAAATATATATTTTACACAGTACTTAATTAAACTCTGAAAATGGCTACCATGAGATCTGATGATGGCTATTACTTGTCTAGATTCAAAGAAGAGTTAGACTAATTTATAGAAGTCATTGGGATAAATGACTATTAGTTCTTGATGGCAGCATGACTGCCTTTGAAGGCTACCTGCTGGGAAATTAGGGTGCTTTGTTTTGCAGTTGGTTGGCCACCGTGAGAACAGATTGCTAGCATAGAAGTGCTGGGGAACCATTGGAACACTTCTTATAAAAACACCCTCTTACAAAGACAAACAAACAGCAGGAGATTAATTCTTAGAGAACTACTATTTTCCAGCTTTGGCAAACATATCAACAGCACATGCTGCTCCTAATAGTTATTGAGATGAATGTCTGGATTCCATGCTTTCCCCCCCCCCAAGATTCTTTTCCTGTTCTCTGTCAGCCATTTCTCATTTAGAACATCTTTTTGATTTAACTTTTGTTGGCTAGAAGTATTTTCAATGATGATCATATACCAATGAGTAAACCAGCTTACTGGTTTAGTTGTCTCTTAGTCAGAGGTCAAGATTAAATTTCGCTTGATGGATGCTTCAGGAAGACACTCATATCTGTGAGACAGAAACAGCTCCTTGTATTTCTGTGCTTTTTTGGGGGGAACTGATGAATTTTCCTGAACATTTTTTTGCCTGGCTTTTGAGGTGTCTAATAGAAATCATGTTATTTTTACTTCCACATTACCACTGAAAGTCATATTAAATTCTTCGTTTTACTCTATCAGATGCGGATTGCCTGAATAATGTTCAAAGAAACATAATTTCCCACTTGATATCTATTAGTCTCATATCTGCATTTTATGGTCTCTATCAGTTGCTGACACAATAACCAGGCTGGGAAAGAAGGGGTCTTAACAGTCTTGTTACCCTTTATGTTCCCTACCCTATCTCAAATCCAAATGGATTTTTACATGTTGTCTTCTGTGTGCATATACCTGGATACCCTAAGCATTACAGAGAGATGTCTTCAGTATGATGATGACATTTTATTGTAATTTTTTCTTAAGTTTCAAATGAACCTACTGTCAACCCTGAATCTAACCTGGGTGAAGCTATCTTGGAGCTTCAGTGTTGCCACCTACCTTTCTGTACCTTGGGACCATTATTCCATAAGCTTTTGTTTGAAGTTACAGGATAGATTTTTATCTACTACATGATAACCAGGTATATTTTAAAAAAGTGATCATATTTCTTTTTAGTTATAATTTTTCAGAAGAAATATACTGGCTTGCTTTAGGCTTAGTTGTCAGTCCCTAATCAGCCTCCTTCCTGCATCTGTTTCAACTTCTGTTTCAACATCATAATTTAAAAATTATTATCAGTCAGACCATATTTTCTTTTCAATGCTTTCCCATGCATTTTGAGCTGCTTTTCTCAACAGTTTCTCCTACCAGAAACATCTACTTTTTTGCCCTCCAAGAGTTTGATTGCACTATTCTTAATTTACCCTAATATGCCAAATATTTGGAAGAATTCCAAAGTCCCCATTGCTTCCAATTTGTCAAGAAAGTATTTCTTTTTAGGTAGACTCTACTTAAAGACGATCTTTCTTCATCATTTCTAGAAGAGAGCCAGTTTGGTCTAGTGGTTAAGGCGTCAGGTTACAAATCCAGAGGGCATGAGTTTTAGATCTGCTTTGGTTATGAAAGCCAGCTGGGTGACTTTGGGCCAATCACTCTTTCTCTCAGCCCAACAGACCACACAGGTATTATTGTGGGGAAAATAGGAGGAAGGTGTATTGGATATATTTGCTGCCTTGAGTTGTTTGTAAAAATAATAAAGGCAAGACATAAATATAATAAAGATACCTGTTCTGCTTATTACTGTCTGGATGACATAAAGCAGACAGAGTAACTCCACAAAGCATCCACACAAAGTCTTTTTTATTGGTTCATCATGTATCCTTATCAACTCACATTTATGATGAGATTCTTCTTAATGTCCAATCCTTTGCATATCTGCATTATGGTGTAGAAAGATAATAAAGTCTCATCCCCATGCTGATTAAAGCAGCTGCATGGTATGGTGGATTCAGGCAAGGGTGAGGGAGCCTCCCCCAACCCAACAAGGGCCAATTTAGTGACCAATCTGGATTACAGATATGACCACATGACATGGACTACATTTCCCAGGATACCTTTACTACATTTATCATGATGCATTCCCTTAAGGGGTCAGCTCACAATTCCTAACTAACTATCCCAAATCCCATTAACTCTAAACTGTCTGGACAGCACAATACCAGAAATTTCTTGGAAAGTTCACATTTGACAGAGCTTGTTCCCTGGAACAGCTGGAATAGTTAAAGTCTCCCATTGCTACTACCTCATTTGCCTTTGAAAAATCCACAATAGCACAATTTATGTTTCCTTCATTTCTTTTTTCCTTCCTTTCTTCCTTCCCTCCCTCCTTGTCTCCCTGCCATAGAAGAAAAAATTATCCTAAGATTGTTCATATAAATAAGTCTAACTATTTTCAATCCAATATTTTATGTAATATTATAAATGGTGTGAGAATACACCCATTAAACTACACCTAATGTCCCCCTGGGAGAGAAAAATGTTTTGGGACCAGCAGCGACATACTCTAATCCAGATTATTTATATTAGAATAAAAAGCCACATGCTTAAATTTTTACTCATGTAGAAAAGGTACATGGAAACTTCTATGTAGGGTTCAGATGCTGGCTGCTGTTTTATGTAAGATTGAAAGTTTTTATTTATTTTTAGTTTTTATTTGGTTTGTTAATTGCTTGCAAGATAATAGGTATAAGTAAGAACATAGTTATGAATACATGGATACATATAAGAAAAATAAATAACTTCGCTGATAAAATAAAATAAATTTTAAATATTTTAAATAAAATAAAATAACTTCTCTGATAGAGGGGAGGGAGTGTTCGAACACATTGTAAAACATATAAATGATAAATATGCAAGATTAAAAAAAGACAATAGATTTCCAATGAGTTCATAAACCTTTCAACTACTCTACATGGCAAATCCCAAAAAAAATTACAGTGGCAAAATCTACTTACAATACATTGTATTGTAAGCATTTTTAGTAGTCTAAACTGAAGAATTTTTTTTAAAAAATTATTTTTTAATTTTGTAGCCATCCTCTGATCCTTTTGAGAGCTATTCCTTCTGATGGGTTCATCATATTTCCATTCCTATGTTCTGCTTTATAATTTTAATTTCTTCCTTGTTATGATGATGTGATAACTTTAGTGGATGCAGACCACTTAGACAGTAGCCTTGAGGAAATGAGTTTGTTTTACTGCCTTGTCTTATTTATCTTTGTTGCAAATTACCCAATACTTTGTTTATGTAGTGAGAAGTGAATTCTTCTTTTTGAGCTTTAATTGATGCCCATCTAATGCAATTCCTCTCCCCACCCCCCAAAACACAACAGCTTCACACAAGTGACTCTGTCTTTGGCTTCAGATCCCTAGGGCTGTGAGAGTCTACTGCATAAAAATGGAGTGACTAAATATATCACACAATATGAAAAGGTTTGTCTTACACTAAAAAACTCTGGTAAAGCTGTTTTCCAGCAGGGCAATTTTGTTTATTTTCTGACTGTGGGAACACAGCACTGTAGTAGTTTTGCAGAATGTATTTAAAAGTATTTAATTGTTTTATACCCCAGCATATCAGGCAGAATTCTAATCTCACATTCAGTATTCAAACCCACTAATTCAAAACCACTAATCATATTGCATAATTAGCAAAAGAGACTGAAGAAGTAAAGACAAGCTAATAAAATAATTAATATTAGTACAGAAAGGAGAAATAGTTATAATAAACTCAATAACAAATAAAGCTCTGCAGACATACTACTTAGACAGTTAAAAAAAATACCTGCACAAGCCTATAAGATGGCTATAAATGACCTTGCAATTCATATCCAGAATGTATTTAAGCAGGAAGTAAAACATTTTCCCAGTGGATGAAATAACATTGACTTTTGCCAATCTAAGCAAGGCTGATTTAAATTTTACATGTGGGTCCAAAGGCTTGTTCTCCCTCAATTTAATAACTTGCAAAGCTGGACACATTTCAAATGAAAGGGAATGCATAGTTCTTAAGCCCGGCACTGAATGTAGCTGCCGTGCATGTAAACAAGTAAACCATTATGTTTCTTATTGAGATAGAGAATACAATGATAAGTGGGGACTTTTATAAAACAAAGGGCTTCCTATTGCGAGTGTGGATAATCTTCCAGAAAACCCTGTGTTTTGGCAAATCACATCAGATTAATCTCTTAGGCATCTCCTTCCATTATCAAATTTCCGCTGGCTATCACAGTGGCAGCCTTATCGGGCACCCTCTTTTCAATAGCAAGTCCATTCCTAAGATTTCAGGTGCTAGCCTTCCATACTCCCCAAACAGGTGTCTCTACTGTTTTCAGGAAGGAAAGGTCCCTGCCGAGAAGCCTGGGAAAGGGCAGGGGTATCACTCACTGTTCTACCTGAAGGAACAGGTAACAGGAAACTGTTGATTCAGTGAATTGAACTTAATTGGCACACATTACTCAGCAGTAAGTGTTTTTGTGAATTAAAATCCCTTCAAAAATGTCCTGCAAATGCCTTTTCTTAAAATAAAAAAAAAGTGGGGGGAGGGGGAAGAAGGGTAAAGGAAGGAAATCTTAAACAAGGGCTGTTATTCTTACAGTGGTATTTTTCCCAGATATACAATAATGATGCACTGAAAATATGACTGATGGAAGACATCATAGGTTACCTTGGTAGTATGAAGGATACAAGGCAGGTTGTTGAGTTGCAGAAAAAAAGTGGCTGATATTCCAATCAAACATACATGGTGCTCTCAGCAGCTGCAAAGTGTGTCTTTTTCACATTTCAGCATCCCTGAATGAAATTAATGAAATTGGGCCAATCAGTCTGTCTGTAGAATGATCTAAAATGATGAAGAAAGACAAAATAGATTTCCAAAAAGTGAAACAAGGGAAAATACAGGATGATTTGCTGGATTTAAAACAGCTCTTGTATTCAGATCTTCTTCATCCATGTGATTATGCAAATCACATCTGACTGGGTGAACCAATCACTGTTTCTTGGCCTAACTGACCTTGTTGTGAGGAAATGTGCAGACAGGGGGAAAAAATCCATTTATTTAGCTTGTTGTGAGGTATTGAGAATACCAGGCCGCATCTCCCCTTCACCCCCTTTTCTGCCTGTCCCTTTCCAAAAGACTTTTACTTATGGCCCTGAATACGGCTTCTGAAAAATTGACATGTACTTGAGTGTAATAAAATAAAGGTATTTGAAGACAACTGGAGTAGCTAGTCTGCTTTCAGTTCTCACTTTGACAGCAGGAGTACACAAACACAAAGATGGGTCCCCAGTTATGCTTCATGGGTAGGAAACATTTGATAAACTCAGGCCTTGGCTTCCGGTGCTCCACAGCAAAAGCTTTGTTTCATCTCTGAATGATTAAATGCTCTACAGAGCAATTACGAACTGGAGGAAGGAACAGCCAACTCGCTCCAGGTTTCCTCAATCAGCCTGATTGAATTTCTCAAAGGACACTATCAGCAGTCCTCTCAGTGACTTCTCCTGGAAAAGGTTGTACCTTGGAAGTGTGCTTTTCTTTAACTGCTTGATATTTCATTTCATTATGCCCAAATGCATGACTTAGAAGAATTATACTGTCTATAAACTTCCAAAACGTTAGATTACGTCCAGTTAGATTCAAATGACCAGCTTGAATATAGCCTCTCAGATATCATACTGAAATGTTCTGAGAACACTTAATACTTTTGAAAAATACAGTACATGAATATAGATAAGATATCGAGATTTTGTATCACTTATTTCTTAGTTTAAATTAAGTAAAGTAGATATTATGAAACATGCAATTGTAAAATAGTTGCAAACTTACATGTGTTTACTGAGAAATACAGTGGAAACTCCGGTCACAACCGTAATCCATTCCAGGACTTTGGTTGCAACCCAATTTGGTCGTGACTGGAAGCAAGACTGACTGCACATGCACAGACAAAAGAAATGGCGCGGAAGGGGAAATCACCATGGCTGTGTTTGATCGCCACCCGAGGATGTGTTTGCGACCAGATGCAAAATTTTTCTAAAATTTTTGGTTGTCACCCGATTTGGTCATTGTCAGAAATGTTTGTGACCTGAGGTTCCACTGTATGTTGGTGTCTACTAGCACATTAGTACACGATTCTAGTTGTAATTAGTTTAAATTTAGTTGAATTTTTTTTTAAAAAAATGCATATTATTAATTGCTGACTTGGGGCAGAGGATGTGTATTGATCTTTTGAATTATGCTTCCATAATTGTATTATTTTCAATTTATTGCTTGTATGATAAATTAAACATAATAGACTTTTTTTTTTACTGTGTGCTTTCATAGGCAGGGAAGTCTACAATGCTTTCTACCATAGAGTAATTCTAGCAACCTAAGATTGCTAGTTCAATTTGTTCATGCATGTGCACTATCCACAGTACACCACAGGGTCCACTACCTGGCTAGTAGCATTTAGCGGAATTTGGGTCATCCTGGCTTTCTTCTGCTGACTTTGTCTTATATCTGGGCAGGTCTAACTCCAGCTCCCACTTCTTCACTGAACGTTGCTCGCTTTTCTTGTATTGGTGTGGTACCTATTTATTTACTTGCATTTTTATATGCTTTTGAACTGCTTGGTAGGCATGACCTATAGGCAAATGATGGGAACTCACTCTGCCATGTAGTATCATGAGCTCAAACCACTGGAAAGCCAACCATCTCTGGGCCAACAAATTCAGCGTCTTCAAGCCACTGCCCCACCACACCACCTCATAATAAACTATGAAAAATAATCTCGGAAACCACCAAAAGACTATTACAACCACATGGCATCACCATAGCACACAAACAAGCTAAACCTTCAAAACAAAATCCAGAAGCAAATAGGAGTCATATACAACAGATTCAGTGTAAGGATAGCAACTGCCACTATGTACAGTAGGGGAAACAGACAGAACAGAAGTGGTATTCAGCAGGTTTTGACCAGTTCTGGAAAACCGGTAGCGGAAAATTTGAGTTGTTCGGAGAACCAGCCAATACCATCTCTGACTGGCCCTGCCCCTATCTATTCTCTGCCTCCCAAGTCCCAGCTGATTGGCTGGGTCTTCTTTGGTTGCCCTGCACAGCAGAACGGAGCTGAAAAGCAAGTTAGTGGGGTGGGGAGGGAATGAGATTTTGCAATATCCTTCCCCTGCCACGCTCACTAAGCCATGCCATGCCCACCAAGCCATGCCACGCCCACCAAGCCACACCCACAGAACAGGTAGTAAAAAAAATTAATCCCACCACTGAGACAGAAGACTAATAGAGTGCCCCCTGAACACTAACTAACAGAATACATGATGAAAACTCCTTAATTTCACAACACATGGACAGACTGAACTATAGTTTTAATTGAAAACTGTGAATATTCTGTCCAAAAATGGTAGAGAATTCCTGGAAGTCTGACACTCAGACAAGTCAGCCAGCAATAGGCATATAGAAATAAACCATATCTACATACCAATCAAAAGAGTCAGTCAAAAATCCAAAAAGGAAACAAAAGGACCCTCCTTACCATCAACCAACACCCAGATAAGCAGAGATTAACACTAGACCCACAATTATGGAGCAAACAATACTCCAATCAAGGAACCAGCAACTAAAACAAATAATCTAACAGTAAATAACAGTTTAATCAAGAAATCACGAAGACTATTCCCATTAATACTGACAAGGTAGGCCAGATGAGAGCAAACCTCACTCCCTACCAGCGCTGATCTTATCTAGTTTGGTAATGAAACATCTGCATGAAAACAACAAGCTCAGAGACCACCAAGGACCCTGGAAGATTTTAAAAGATTAAGAAAGCATAAAAGCATATGAATGAATGGCCTGTGCCAACACCTTGAACACTTTAAAAATATGTCCACTGAATCGATTAAGAACATGTATGAAGCACCTCTTATTAATAGTTCACTAAGCCTTTTCTAGCCTTGCACAGCTGTTCTTAACTTCTTTCACTTGTATGCATATGCCCAGTTCCTTCATTTCCAGTCAAGTGAGCCTAGGAATTAATGAGTCAGAAAGAGATGTTTTATTTAACAAGCCCTGATTTATATTTATATTATATTTCTAAAACATAATTATCTGTGAAAAAACAGCCGTTAATTTTATATGCTCTAATTAAAATTGATTATTTTTAAAGCAAGATGTGGTCTGCTATATATCTCTGATAGGTTTAATTAAGTCAAGGTCCTCCATTTTATTGGAAATGAAAAATAGTGGCCTAATATTCATTTATAACACAGAACTGTTAACTTCGCTTAATATCTTTCTTAAAACTGATATTAAACCATAATTTCCTGCTGTAATAATAAAAAAAACCGTTTAATTTTTAAATGGGATATAAATACTGTGGAACACTTTTTCATTCTTAGGTGATGAAATGATTTAGCAAGTGACTAATTCACATTTACAACCCACCGAATTCCTGCAAATCAAAATATTAGCAACACTTTCTATTTAGACAGGGAGCAATGACTTGAAAGTGGCAAGAGCTGAAACACACATGCCCAAAACAAACAAACAAATAATACAGTGTGTAATTAAAACAAAAATAAAGAGCCTTGAGGCACTTTATAGGCTAAGACTAAGTTATAGGTGCTATAAAAGTCTTTGTCCTGCAAGGAATTTGGAAAGTTACCACAACACGCTGTGTTCATAGGAAGGTTTTTTCAGTGTTAGAAAATAAAAGAAAAAAAAGTTTTGGGCTTAATGCAAAAGCAAATCAGAGAGAGAAATAGACACATGTTAGAAATATTAAATAGAATCGCATATTGATAAAAATAAGACCTTAAAGCACACTTAACAAAAGCATCTTAACATTTGCCTTCACATCACACTAATTTTCTTAACATACAAAACAGAGTTTTTTTGATTATCAGAAACCAAATTCTAGAAAGCAAATTGATATTATACCAATAAATTCATCATTATCCAAAATCTACTGAAGTTATTTATGGGATAAGTTCCTAACACAACTACATTTTCTTCCACTGATTTTTAAACGAAGGAAAAAAAAGTGCAATAACGATGACCCAGGAATTGTCTCACTCGTTAACATTTGCTGGGCTTGTAATTGGGAAACTGGTCCTTAAGGTGTTAACAAGCTGAGTTTTCTCTCATTCTAGAATGTTTATACCTCCTTGTTGAGTTGATTAAGGCCAGATGGCCCAAGGCATTATAAGAATCAAGAAAGGTGGCACGTTAAGAGACTGTGTCACAGATTTAGGATTGTGAGAAACTAGAAAAGAGAAGAAAATTGGAAAGCACAAGTAAGAGTAAGAAAACAGATTGTTGAGAGAAAAATCCTGTCTAGTTTTAATCTGGAGTGGGATCTTGCTTATCTGACAGTGAGAAGGACTAGAATTAGGCTGTTTTACAGCATTCACCCTAATTCCCGAACAATTTATGAATGTTGTGAAAACTGTCTAATACTATCTTTTGCTGCTATTGTTACAGATTACATTGTCTGTTCTTTGCTGGGTCCATCAGAAAAGAATGCTTATCTTTCAGCTACTTGCAGTCCTCTTTTTACTGAGTTATGCTATCTGCACTTTTTAATAATTACATTCAGATGTGAAATAAGTCTTGGACAGCACTCTGATATAAACTAATAATAATAATAATAATAATAATAATAATAATAATAATAATGCCAAAAATCTGGTTTAATATTCATGAGTCATGGTTGGCACTCCAGGAATATATGTGTGTTTTCCCTTCAAAAGGTTTTAGAAGCAAGGTAGAATTCCCATAATTACTTAATAAGTGCTCAGAAAATAATACCTTATTTTTTGAGTTTTTTTGAATTGCACACATACACACACACTCACACACACACAAAATTCTACATGCTTCTAGTCTATTGTATTGGCCCGTGGGAATTTAAGTTTCCTGGACAAGCTGTGGCACAAAGCCAGTTAGATATTCAATCAGTCCGCTTACCCCTCCAACACACAAACAACCATATCAGGGGATAGCAGCCTCTTAGCTGTGTGTAAGAAACAATTGAGAAAATTGACCCAAGGAGAAATTATACTCTCTTAATAAAATATTGCTTAGATGGGTGGGTGGGAAGTCTGACGACATAGTTCAATCAATGAGAAAGAAAGTTTATAAAATTTTGGGAGAGCCACCCAAAATGCAGGATTTTGATGTCTACAGAAACAGTATTTGTTTGTAGTATAATAAGGTCATCTTCATTGAAAATATTAATATTCAGAATGCAATTTTGGTGATATTATCCATAAAGGTAATATCTTCTATATTATTTGTCGTCTTTCCATGTAGAAATTAATTATTTTTTCAAAATTCTTTATAAATAGGAATTATGGGGATTAAAATTGGAAAAAGTGAAGTAGACAGATTAATAAATAAATATAAGCTAAGAAGTTGAGCTGGTAATATGCTTATAGTTCTATATTAATGCTATCTCTCTTGCTGGTCATTTCTTTTTTACTGGCATATAGCAGCCAGATAATGTAATGGTTAAGTCAATTATAACTTATTCAACAAACAATATTTGTGAGCCAGGCTTTAATGCATTGTATATTATCCAAGTATCACCTTACTGGCATAGTCACTATTAGCTGAACAGATGTGTAGCACTGCAAGGCTGTTTTAAATTATTTTTATCTCTTAGAACTAGTTTGCTAGTTAGGCATAGTGTATGTGGCAGCAAATGGAAGATGCCTTGTGCTCAAGAACAGAATTTATTCTGCAAGCATCCAAATCATATAATCCAATAATCCTTGTAAGAATATGTCTGCAGCACTTTTACCTTCCTTGCTGAATATTTATGAGATAGGAAAGATATTTTTTCTCTCTAAAAGTGGAACTTTGCTTATAAATGGTTCTATTAGGATTCTCTGTGGCGCAGTGGTTAGAGTGCAATATTGCAAGCTGCTTCTGCTGCAGCCAGCTGCCTACAATTTGGCAGTTCAAATCCCATCAGGCTCAAGGTTGATTCAGCCTTCCATCCTTCTGAGGTGGGTAAAATGAGGACCCAAATTGTTGGGGGCAATATGCTGACTCTGTAAACCGCTTAGAGAGGGTTGTAAAGCACTATAAAGTGG